TCTATGATAGTTTCATGTTCTTGAAGCACCTTGATATCTCTGAGGCTAACTACCCCGCAGGAATACACAGTGTGGGAATGATAGCCGATAGGGGCCCTGAGCTGGGGGTCTCGCCCTGGCCAGCCCCGAGTGGTTTTCTCCGAACCTTGGGGTGGGGAGAGACTTGCCTCAAGCGCTAAAAGCCAACTACCCGCTCCATTAATTCTATTTTGCACTAGGGCCCACAGGGTAGTTTTCCGCATGTCACGCTGAGTCACGCTACCCCGGTAAAGTCCCAGCTGCAAATCCGAGAGGAAGATCGTCGGCAGCGAGAGCCGTCCATCCTCAGTAAGGTGCGAACATGTGTGCATGTCTGGGCAGCTAAGGTTCCCTCACTCTTGCTTGCAGTAGTTGTTTTATCAAGCTCTAAAATGACGTGTAGGGTTATGTGGGGCTATACATATTTATATATATATATACATATATAGTGTGTATATATATGTATATATGTATGCATAAGTGTATGGTAATTCATTGGGTTTATAAAGTGCTGTATGGTGCTATACAGGAAGGACATTCCCCAGATACTCACCTCCGGTAATGACACCCCGCCTTGAGAAGAATTCTTCTCATGGTAGTATGCTGCAAGCAATTAGGAGCATGCATTGCTTGAGGGTGGGGTGGGGTTTTGAAGATAAGCGGGAGGAACAATGACCTGCGCACCCAATCCGTAGCAAGACAGTCATGTTCCGACATGGCTGCGAAGAGAAATCCTCAAGCGGACTCAAATAATGTGCGGTAGGGTACCCCCACAAGGCTTACTAAATTTCAGAAACGCTTACATGGCAACAAAACTCACTCCAGCGTTTACTAATCAATCGGTGGAGGTCATTATTGGGCTTTATGTAGAAACTACTAAGAGTCAACATGGGCATCCCCTACTGAGCACCAAGGACACAAGGAGAGCTTCCTGTGAGTGATCCAAACCCTGAACCGTCCTCAGCTTCCGGCGAATCGGTACAACGCTGGCCTCACCACATGTTGCGGGATAAGGACTGGCTCCCATTGGAAGGCTTGATAAGGGTTATACAGTCATGATTGAATATTCTTGTAATCAAGGCGTTAGGATCCCGATTCAGATTCCAACTAAAGAATGTTTTACAACCAAGGTGTCAGACATGTAGCACCCACTGCAGCCCGGTCTTGCCTGGAGAGGTACTGCGAAAGCTTCATGCTCCGGTGCCGCCGGGCCCCCTCCTGCGCAAAAACAGCTGGAGTCTTGGCTACTTGTGTCTCTCCTTACTGGTGCTTAAAATGGAGTAGGAGAGGGCATATAGATACCAGTACGATGAGGTTCTAATAGGAATTCGCCAGTATGTCTCCTTACTCTTCAAGGTCAGCGTTGAAACTGGAACTACACTTAGGCGCGCACTGGGGCTATGCAAGGAAAAAGCTTTGTAAGCCGTTCGTTTTAGCAACGCACACACCAGAACACGCCTGTTGCTGTGCCTAATCGGTTGCTAGATCTGATTTGCACTCCGCAAAACAGAGCAAGGCCATACAAACAGATCGGGGGCCACAGGAAAATACGTCGCCCCCTTGCGTATTCAAAGCCTCGGTTCACGTCGATGCCAAAGACTTGAGGGAAACCAATGAACGTGCGTCAGAAAAAACACCTGAAAAGCATCGCACTCACTTCTAGCATATGTCATCTCAAGTTAGCAAACAGCAGAACCGCATCTAGGCCCTCTTTGTTCATGCTCTGAAGCAATGTCCTCGTTGCGGCCATCGCTGACTTGCACAACCTTACAAAAAGGCTGTTTCAGAAAGCTTCCCATGCCTTGACTGACCGAAACGAAACCTCAGCAGAATACATGGGATTCTATGATATGTTCGATAGTAAAGCCCACCTTGGCCAAATCATTCCGCACAACCACTTCGAGCTAGCCCCCTCATACGTAATCAGTAAGGTTATCGCGCAGCTAAAGATTAGAACTAGTACTTAAGGCGTGCATAGGGGGACTCCAGGCTTCATGAATCCCCACACCGAGCTTCGAAGAGAGCTGAGTTCTGAAAGATACAAAGATGAAGAATCGATTAACTGATACACCATGTATACACATGTATACCCATGTCAAAGGTGTATACCTGGCCTGTAAATGTATAATATGTATGAGCGATTGTCTAAACTCTCCCCCTCATAACCCCTATAGTAGTCCCCTATAGAACCCCCCTTTAAGGAGAATAGACTATAGCTCATATGCTCAGTACACTAACTTCTCTCAACTAGATTTGGCAACTGCCCTTCACCGGCCTCTGGACCAAAGCGTTCTGCGAAGGCCGCAGGGTCTGTTGGCGCATCGACCTCCGCACCAGCCGGGAACTACAATCACTACCAGGTGCTTAAGGGGGGGGGGTTTAAGAGGGTAGGTCCTAGAGAACCTTAGGCCTTGGAGAGTGCCAGGGATGTAAGGGCGTGGTAAAGTTATGGGCTGCCTGATTGCCCCGGACGCTACCCCACTTAGGTTCACTCTTCCGGAACGATCTTAACCAAAGAGGCACGGAATATGTGGGGAGTAAGGCAACCCATAAACCTTCAAGGACCTTCTAAGGATTCCTTACTACAGCTGTGGAAGAACCCCTTCGAACTCCTGCAAGCTACGCACAGCCTTTTTTTTGAAACAGGCTTGCTGAGCTCCACAACCTAGACCCCAACCTCTTTAGACCCTGGACCCTGTCCCCGTTTTTCGTGGCTCTAGACCCTAAATCCTACACCTCTCAATCCTCATTCCCAATGAAGCCCTACATTCTTGCCCTCAACCCTGGTTCTCACCCCTTCAAGCTAGCTGGACATATTACACAATATGAGTCTTAGGCCATCATGGTAGCTTTCCCGATATATCCCCCCACATATCCCTCTGTGTCCCCCTGTATACCTTATGAGCAACTCTATACTCTGAGGCCTCGAGATTGAGGCCTGTTACCTTCACTGGAGTTTCTCGCCACTTGGCGGCCTCAGGTCACGTAAAAAAAGGAACAAGTTTACAGTTTGGGGTGTATGAATTTGTGTGGGAATTGGGCTCTATGGTTTAGGGTTTAAAGCTTGAGGCTTCGCGGTCTCGGCTTGAGGGCTGAGGCTTTCCTGGCAAAGTGGTACACGCAAATGTGGCCTACTGTCCTCAGATTGCATCTTTTGCGGCTTTAAGGCGCTTCTTGTTCCAGTTCGGAGAGGTTGATTATTTGGGCCTTTGTTGAGAATACGTCGTCTTCGGGGAATCTGAACCCCAACTATGCAAGATATGCATGTGGTTCAAATGCAACCTGTGCGGCAATGCATGTCCTGTCTGCCAGCACATCAACTTCGCGTTGCTGGATTCATGTGCCTTCTTTGGGCTACCCTAGAAAATGAGGCATATTTTATTGCGAGCATAAGCCAGCCAATCGATGCTGCTCAACAAATGTGCGCAGGAATGACTTGTGTCCGAATAGCTAAGTAATATTTTTTCATCCCACGACCTCGGGTCTTGAACAACTTCGCATAGCTTCGGCCTTCCCTTCGATTCGTTTCCTGCTGCCATAGTGGTCTCTCACTCGTGATAGTTTGTCTCCTGCCAGTGATAGATGGTGCTTGGAAGTCTGGCAGTCCATCAGAAGCATGATGGACATACAAGGCTCAAAATTCGAGCGGGGAACACTCATAGCAACATCAGCAAAAGAAAGCTGAATCCAACCTCGTAGTAGCCTGCTAATTGAGAGCCACGCTGAGTTGAGCAATTCGAATCACAATCCCTTCTGCTGCATGCGGCGAAGTCTTCCCATGACAGCTGCTCGGCGCTGACTTGCGGCAGATCGCATCCTCCTGAATCATGTGGTGCTGTCTAGTTAGGAAGAAGAGTTGAAGATATGTGCTTCCGCCTATGGTCACCTTAGTCTACGGCGCTTGCTGAAAGATTTGTCAAGGGACAATTCTGGCCTGTCAGAAGACGTACAAAACCCTCAAGATTACACTGCCGTAGCTTCCATTGTCCTACTGACAACCAGCAAAATGGCCGTAGGCCTTGAACCCAATGTTTCCATTAAATCTAGTTCGTTTGCGTTTCAATCGGAGCCCCCATTGTTTCCTAAACAAATCCTGCCAAAAGTCGTTCGCCCGCCCGGCTCACTGGGATATCCAGCAGAAACAGGAGCGACAGGATCATGCGCCGCACATAGACATGAGGGGTTGAGCTGAAGTCCCTTGAAAAGGGCTGTACAGGGATATGTCAGGACTGCTGGGCGTATACGTGGATTAGTGGGGTGTAGGGTTTCCACAAGTGAGGGGCTGCATTTTTTGGAGTCCCTACAATTCTTGTGACAATATACTGCTTCCTACATTTGGGGGGTGCCTGTTTATGGCACATGGCTTGCCCCTTCCAGACCTACCCCTGTTGAAGCATAGAGTAGCTTCACTGCATGAGTTGGCGAGCTAAGAGAGCCTGCGGTAGCACCGAACAAAACACAGAATGGACGTGTGACTGCGAGCTTAGCTGGATCGCTGTTCAGGAACTTAGATGAAGCTACCACTACAAGGTAACCGTGTTTTTCACTATATACCCACCCATAGCCTGGTGACTTTCCTTAAGTTCCGTAATAGCAACCCAGTTAGTGCTAAGCTGTTTCAGCAGAGCTGCCCGTGTGGCTTCAAAAAGTCTGAAGGCAGCAGCGACAGAGCCAAAAGGTGGCAAGCTGTAGGGCACTTATGGTTATATTGGGGTTATGGAGAATCAAATGGAAAAGAACATGCAAATGACATGGAAACTGGGGTTTAGGGATTATAGTGGGATTACATTGGGGTTTGGAGGCAACTTGCCAGCTGGAAGACCATCACGAGTACTCACACAATAAAGGGATTGCAGTTTTCGATGTGCCCTTCGTGCAAAGCAGGGCTTCAATGCTCGATCTAGGTACCTCAGACTCCGTACCCCTTCCTCACAATTGGCAATCCTGAGCCCTGAGATCTAACCTTTGCTTGCTAAACGCACCTTGGCTGGAAAGTGAAGAGGTAGTAAACCTGGGCTTGTCGCTTAGTGTTGTAGGCCTGTATGCCTTCCAGATCTTGAAAGGGTTTGGCTCGAAGGGCGCCGCCAGGGGCCATATCTGTCTTGACATGCCTGGAGGTCTCGCAAGGCATAGTTTGCTCTGTTTTTTGTGCCGAAGGTTTGAGTAGCTGTGGGCCTCTTCCTGAGACGTCTTGACATTCTGACAGCTTAGTAGACAAGCGTCCGTGTCGCGACGAATCTTGCCCATCATCACCTGCACGGAGGTTTGGGGCAGCCACCCTAACTCTGCAGTACATATGAGGTTGCTGTGCCAATTGCGGCTCGGCTTTTCTTTGCAGGATCCTTGCCGCTCTAGAAACCTAGGATTTCAGAGTTTGTGCTTCTACTAAGTACTCTCCAGGCACAGCCCCCTCTCCACTTCTGGTACCTAAAAAGTAAGTTGCTTTGCTCATCTCATCACCCTCACACCTGCGGAAATGAAGCAAACTGCAGGGCACCGGGAGGCTTCCGTGGCGTGCGAGTTTCATAAGATGAGGACTCTTAACTGGCCCTTAACGGGTACGTCAGGGTGGCCATGTTCTGAAACATACCCTCCACGGATGGTTCGGAAGCAGCGCATCAAAAGAATTTCAGGGCCTGGAAGCAGTAGCAGCCATCACAACAATGCACACCAGGACAATGTATTAGACCAGCTAGCAGGAAATTGTCAGGGTTTCAAGTCTTGAAATCACGGCTTTGGACGTGAAGCCCCGCCTGAAAGGCTTTGTATCCTTCGAGCTTGTACCTTGGTCTCCGCAAGTTAGTTAGTACGGGAAGCGGAAAGAAGGTCTACATCATGGCCTGTCAGCATTGACAGGGCCGGTGTCCTTTTCAAAGTTCAACCTTCGACGTTTGTCAACTGTGACGGGAGATGAAAATCTCTGTCTCAACTTGCTGCGCAAAGTATATTAAGCCCGCAAATCTTTGTTTCTTCAGGGTTGGCAGTGTGGCGCGACGGTTGCATTCCCAACGTGCCACCGTGGTGCTCGGATCAATACGAGCTGCCCATAATCGTGAAGACTGTCAGCCGCACTTTATTCAGACGAGTGTCTCCACTAGCGGATCTCTTTGTCCGTAGCTCCGAAGCTTGGAGTAGTTCCTCCCAAGAAAAAGGAGTTGAAAGCCAGAGCCACTTAAACAGGTAATGCGAGGCTTCCCAATCCTGACATACTCATGATGGACCACGTGCTTCAACGAAATTAACGAAATTGGTCTCAACAATACTTCATGACAGTAAAGGCCCACGGACAACCCAAATGAGTTGGTCACAAGGAAGCTTTGCACAGAAAATGCAGATATCTTTTCCTGCTGGTTAACCGCACGGAATGTTACAGAGCACGAAAAGGGTACAACAATACCACTGCGCTTCCCAGCTCCTGAAGCTTGTTCCAACTGCAGAGGCTTACGTCTTTCATGCATGGGTTTTGGGTTGCGGAAGGTCTTTTCTCAGCTCAACACAATTGTCAGGCTCAGGTTGTACCACTCCAAAGTTCACAACTCAGGTTTTGGAGCGGCCAGCATGACTAGAATTGCCTCATGCAATCCTACTATATTATAGTATACTAAACGTGCGATAATATACCATAACATACAGTATATCATGGTGTATTATGATATGCTATAGTACTATGTCATATTGTAGTATATCTGGGAATCAGCAGTTTTCGGTGTTCAGTCTTCGTCAGTGACTCAGGCCCGGCTTTCCTGCAGGTTCCTTCTGCTTGTCTTGCTGCGTCTGAGCGCATACATGAGACTAGATGCCCGAAGACCTCAAGTCGAAACCACCCTGAATCCTAAAGCCTAAGCCCAACCCATGGTAATAATAGGAAGAATAATGATAGAATAGCCATCGTAAAAATAGTCACAGTTGGAACACATTTTTGATACCTGGGTTCCAACAGCTTTCAGAGCAGGCCTGCTCTAGACTTGCCTCTGGTTAGCTGGGAATGAAGGAATGGAAAAGAAACTGGAATCTACTATAATGGGTTCATTGAGGGACTACTATAAGGATCCCTTCCTTCATTCTTATCCAACCAAAGGTAAGAGTCTGCAGATGATCACGCCGACCGTTGCTTTGCGGTGGCAAAATGCGCTGTGTAAAACACGGACGAGACGGCGGACAGCGTCAGCATCATCTGAAGGGACGCGTACGTGTTACCTCAAGCTTTGTTGGCGTACCATGATCAACACTTTCGCATCTTATAGGATTTTAGTAAAGGCAAACCCACAAAAGATTAGTTGAAGGCAACTGAACCCCCACTGCGTTCAACGCTGCGTGCAAAACGAACTCGCCACAGGGTTCTGCAACCTTTTCTACAGACCCTCGAAGGGCTCTACAAACCCACAAAGATTTTCCGAAATCGCACGAATCCTGCAACGCCATCCCCCAGCTTTCTGTGAATGTTGGCGGTAAACCTCGGGACGAAACGCCCCCAATGATGTGTACACATATGTCTTGCCCTGGTTCAACTACAAGTAGAACCATGTGGTTCAAATACCTGCTCCTACTATTGAAGCCCGACTAATATTAGATGTTCTCAACATACTATAGTATACCAAAAGGAGAACATGTAAGAAATGGAGTGGTTTTGTAGCAGTGGGAAGAAGTTATCTGAGACTGGCCCAGTGACGGCCCAAGTGTTGGATTATCCAGCGCACCACTGGTGGAGTAATAGCCCGAGGAATTTGGATGGCAACCTTTTTGAGCAGCATGTAGTTTTTGAGGTTCCAGAAGGCATCAGGGACTGCTGCTTGCGCTGCCAGACCATCCATGAATCCAGCAAGCTGAAACATGCATGAAAAGTTGAAGGCATCACCGATGAGCAGCGGCCAGGCAGATTTCAACACGCCAAACCGCTTGAAGTCAAAGAATAAGATGACTCCAAAAGTGCCAACTCCGGCCAGCAAGAACATGAGGTGTAGATCCTGCACCAGTCTGCCGCGGACAACTAAGATCGCGCATCCTAGCAGGACAGTTGTTCCAAATACGATGCCGAGGGCATAGCCGATCATGTCAGCCTTCCACCCATACTGGACCTCCAAGAGGAGGGCCGTCGCTACCTCCACCCCGCTGCTGGTTATAGAGCCTGTGCAACACTCTCAAAATTGCGCTTTTATGGAGCTGAAAACGGGGAATAGGGAAGTGGATCTTTCCGCTCGGGAAAGTGGGGGAAACTCATTGAGGGTGACACATCAAGCGAAGAACTTTCAAATCAGGACCAGTACTGCGCTAATTTGAGTCATGGGGCTACTAGGGCTTAGCGTTACTAGGGCTTTTGAGGTCGGATATTGGGGGGCACACGGTGGTCCCATGATGAAAAGGGAAGTCTGCAAGAAGACTGGCAGGTCCTCTGACAACCCGGCATGGTGATAAGCACGTGCTTGCCTCCCCATGGTAGCAATCCAAAGATTATGGATCTTCTTTGAGAAGTTTATGTAGCAGTACTCTTATGACAGAAAACTACTATATGGGATCCTAAAATGGGCCCATGCGTGGAGGTCTTTTTTCCAGGGCCTAAGCCCTGAACAGTATAATATAGTAGTCTCCATTTGCTTCTCGATTCGCCGGTGTACCGCTGTGGAACCCCTCTAACGGCGTGGGAAAGTTGTTGAAATTTTAGCAGGGGAGGGGATTAACCAGAGACCCAGGGAATGCTCCTGCAACAAAAAGTGGCCTGCATGATTCGCAAGGGGATTCTGGTAGGCAGCTCCCAGATAACCAGTGGAGACTCAAATTCAAGAGAACTTGTAGCATGAAATGGAAACTGGTGTTATGAAGGAGCTAATGTTAGGTACCAAGATTTTGCCCGTATGATATCAAGGTCCTTGGTTGCTAATGTTGCGGGTTGGGCTGCAAACAGCCCTTTTCATGGGTAGAAAAGGCCTGTGAGGTGAATTTTGTAAACTCTGCGTAAGAATAGACGGCAACAATCTTGGCCATTGTTTGGGCTGCCCTGTGAAGTTAGGCTTGGCCTAGGTTTTGCTGCCTTTTACGACAACTGCCCTAAAAGCAGTCTAAACACGAAAACCAATCCTGTAAGTGAACCTGCCCTAGCATTCGTGTAGAAGTCTTGCCATTCCCAAGCCTAAGCTCGCAACACAAATGAACCAAGCCATTTCTGAGGGCTTAGGTGTGCTGACCTGATCCTCTACCTCGAGGTCACACAACAGCTGAAAAAGCGTCGGCTTCTGAGAGCAGAAATGTTCAAACGCGACATCTGCCCGCGACCCAATTAAGCCGCGCACCTAAAATTTTGGAAGCCCTTCCGCCCTGAGCAGCTCCTATGCCGTCTTTAGAAGCTAAGCTTCACCTCTCGGCCAGAAATGTATCACACGTGCCTCCTTCTTAAGGGTCATTGCCGCACCGCGCTCAATGCAGCCCAGGCACGCTCCGCTGCAAAAAAAAGTGCCGTCCTCACTAAGCCTTCTCTGGTCTTCCTGCTCACCTTGACTTTACGTCTACTGCTTCATTGGTAGTCAAAAGTGAGACTGTAAGTAGGCAGAATAGTTGTAGGCACCATTCAGGCACTTGTAAGTGGAGGTGTGATTTTGGTGGTTTGGGTTGTTTGGCGCGTTGCATTAGAGGGTAAGACGACAGAATCAGCACCATGGAGCCCTCTTCCTAGGCTTATACAGTCCCACAACAAACCAGTTCTGGAGACCTTGGATAACTTCATGACTTCTGCACTGGAATTCCGAAAACAATATGACTTGTCTCAAAATCTATGCCAGCGGAGGTAACCCACTTAATGAGAATGTTTTGTTGTACGCGAATTGCTGGCTTGGGAACATTGAAATGAGAGGACTTGTCATATAGCAGGAACCCAACAAGCAAAATGCAATAAGTTTAAATGTCACAAATCACCGCTGGCATCTACACACTGAGACGCGACTGCCATTAGTGCAGAACTGTGTCTGTCAGCATTTCCAGTGCTATTCCATCATGCGCACGTAAGATTTCGCGGGAGTGGAGGCATGGGATCAACTGCTGGCCGCTTCTGGTACTTGATTGTCCCTCTATGAGAGTTTCCATCAAAAGGCGGCCCCAAAAGAAACGCCATTATACCAGAGTCCTGATTATAGGACCCCCCAAATGGGGCACCTGATCTTTGGACACCACCATGTGATATCTCGAAAGCAAAGCATGTATGTCGTTGAGACAAAGGTGCAAGCAACTGCCGGGCTATGCTGCTTCAAGGCCGGGGTATGCGAATCCTTTCCAAGAAGGATGCTAGATTGAGAAGCTCCCGAACTGTCAAAGTTGACCACTTGGTTCTTAATCGCTCATTGAAAGCCCTCATCCACACACCGCACTCAGAACTGTTTTTCAGAACAAAGCTCCTGAACTGTCAAACTTGACCACTTGGTTCTTAATCTCTCATTGAAAGCCCTCATCCACACACCGCACTCAGAACTGTTTTTCAGAACAGAAATTCCTCAAAAAGATATATATGCAAACCATGCTACTCCGGTCCACCGGGAATGGCATCCAGCTTCGGTGCCTGGAGGGGGCTTTGGGATTGGGGGCGTACTGGCCGAGGCCAATGATGAACAAATGAAATTCGGCTGACTTCGGGTTCAGATTGAGGTTCACGGGCTTATGGCTTACGTTCAGAGTTCAGATGTCACACGAACTACGTTCACTACATTTCGGAAAGTTCGAGCATCCAAATACTGGTGGCCCTTTGCAACTGCAGCGCATCCCATGTTTTGCGTAAATCTGTTTGGGGCCCATTTTGTGTAGAAACTGCCCCTTCAAAACTTGCTGGTTGCTTTGTGAAGAAAATCTGAAAAACTACTGCAAGCAATACTCGCAACAGACTGACATGCACTGTGGGCTCTTTAACTTTGGATTCCGTTTGCAAACTCTACTTGGGCTGTAGTCTAAACTCCTCCAAGGGAGCTACATAGGGGATTAGATAGAGGAGCATTATAGGGGTTTTTCAGGGGGATAGTAGGGGTTTTGACTATACCTCCCTTGCGAGTTCATGTCAGCGACAAGCGGGTAACAAGCAAAACTACTGAACTGCCTTTGAGCCCATGACTGAGGATAGTGATAGCATCCTGTAAAGTGGTTTCCCCAAATAGGGGACCCAGTATACACCTACCTTGGGAGCGCCCATGACGGGAGCCCTAATTGTTGGGGACGCCGTCTAAACCTTAAATCCTAACTATCCGCAAACCGCTGAGAGGGCCGCCTTCCTCTTCCACTGGATCTTCAATTGGAAGTCCTGCCCGGAAAGTGATAAACATATGATTTGGGGGCACTGAAGGGTCCTAGACCTTAAATTCACAACTCTCAGTCCAAAATCCTAAGCCCCAAGCCCCAAAACTTAAACCCTGTAAATTCTAAATGCATTTGAACATTGCACCGGAAATATCGTGAAGCTACTCATAAGGTTTCAACGGTAGTGAATACCGTAGCTTTGACATCGGCAGCTTGGGGACTTGCCAACAAGGCCCTTACTGATCAGCGTTTGGGGGTTGGGGTAACAAGTGTGCGTTGCATCCGTGCCAGAATACCCCTACATAATCCTCGCACCCCAAACGGTAAGCCAGCGACTCTACAATTGGTATTTGCAGGAAATACGATGCTTTGGAGTTTGGAAGCCCTTAAGCCATACATGACCCAACTATGGGGGGCTTCAAAAAATCATGGGTACCTTTGCGGGGTCCCATAATAAGAATTCTAGCAGTTTGGTCTATATTGGGGGTCCCATGAATTTGGAAACTACCATATCCCCATACGATCCCCAGATATTTTGTAGTTTCACTTTGATTTCCACTTTGATTGTCCATTTGAGGCCCTACACCCTGAACCCCTTTACTATATGAGCTATAGTCTAAACTCCTCGTATCCCCTTTAATAACCCCACAAATACTCCCTTGTATAATCCCCTATTTGGTCCCCCTGTAAGCAATTTAGACCCTAAACCCCTGTATAACCCACTTTTCGGAGTTTAGACTCTAAACCCTAAGCCCTGTATAACCCCCTTTGGGGAATCTAGACTATGGTTCATATAAGACTTTGACTGATGCACGTCTGTCCTGGGTCGTCTGGGAGGCACAGGGCCACAAAACAAGCAAATAAGCACCACAGAAAGCCTCACGGTTTAGGGTTTCAGGTTTCGGATTTAGGGCTTCAGGTTTAAGATTTAGGGTTTCAGGCTTAGGTTTTAGGGTTGGGAAGACGCTGTTGAATCTGATGGCTACCTTGAGGAAATTCTTGTCTTTGTGGACATCTACAGTCAGCCCACTACAACTGTGCTTGTACTGATACGACTGCGAATATGCGCTGGAAGGCGCGTTTCAATCTATTCGAGGGTGCCGCTTTAACCCCATCTCAAGTACAGATTTTGCCATTTTGGCTTCTTGAAAAAGACCCATTCTTTCCGGAAACAACCCTTTCCTTGAAAATCCAAATGGCCCCAAACCCGCACACAAGACTTTGCTCTGTCAAGCAGCCAATAGTTCCAACAACCTGTTGGCTGCTTGCGGCAGCGTTGTGGGGGTCGTAGCGGCCGGCTTTGTGTAACCTCTGCTCTTGGTGGGGCAAGGGCTCCACTCAATGCAGGCACTGCTGCCCTCTGGACGGAGGAGACGTAAGAATGCCACAGCTACAATTCGTGGAGTCCTGTCCCCAAACCTCCATAGGCCAACGTTCATATTACGTGCCATGAAGGCTTTCTGATTCCTTTTGCGAAGCCTTGATACCAAGTATTCTGCTCCCATACGCGCTAGAAGTATGCGTGCCTGCCATGGTTGTCAAGACCTTTGCTGCAACAGGGCCCCCCATAAATTGCCAGCCGTTCCGGAAGTCTCCATGAGGGTGGCTTCAGAGCTATCATCAATGCTTCCATGCTTCCCCATCATCCCTACAAGCTTACAGCAGAACTGCCTCAATAGAATTCATGATTCCGAGAGAATCTTGGCATGCCATCTCAGCAGCATGCGGATCCCTTGTACAAAACGTACCCACATCTTTGAGAAAGCCTTGGGCTCTTCTGCCCATGTGCTCCACCTTCAGGCAGGCAGCAGCACGGAGCATAGCAACGGCCCCAGCGACATGCCCAAGCCTTGCGTTTCCCAAAATGCTTCATGCGTAGAGTTTGGGGTCTGCGCTAATGGCTAAGGCTTCGAATGGGCTGTTTGGGATTTTCAGTCCAGATCTACTCGTTCAAGGTCAACGGTCAAGAGAGAAATTGTCCATGCAGGCCAAAGGAGCAAACCCAACACACCAAGTCCCCCTGTTAGCTGGCAAGCAGCTCAGGCTAAGGAAGAAGCGCAAGGCCAATGCAGCTCGGCTTTCCATGGAGGCCTCAGATATGACACTTTTGAACCAAGGCTAAACCCACTGATGTCTACACCCTGTACTGTCTTGTGATGGCTGCAGGGTTTGGATTTGGAGCTTCAGGCTCATAGCCAAGAATGCGGCTTTATAGTTGATCTGACCTCTGACCTATGAGGATTGCTGCCTCCTCAAGACATGTTACCGTAAGCCGCCTCATGAGATCTCAACTATCGCGAAACAGCTAAGCTGAAGATGAACTTTAACGAGCTCCCCTACACAGCACAAGAAACTTCCCCCTTTGTTCTTAGAAGGGGATGGTCCACAGATCCAGATGAGCTTACAAACAGGGTGCTGAGAAGTACATACACCACAGTGGCTGGTGCATCATGACCTGTCTTAGGTGGCCAGCAAACACATGGCTTGCGGACGAAAGCCTGCATTCTAAAGACCCGTGGCTGTGAGGTTGAGGATTCTGAGTCACACCCATACTTGCGTGCAGAGGTCATGGGTTCCAGATTGCAGCCGCAGGAGCATACTGGTACGCAATGGTTTCTAATGGTAAGCCAAAGGTTGACAGAGTGAGGCCGCTAGCAGCTCGAAGAGTAGCCAGCAAGCATAAGATCGTACTGCCACTCCAATGGCCGCCTGCATTAAAGAGCCCCAGAACTACTTGAAGAAACAATAAATACTACCTCAACTCCTCAAAAAAGGGGAACTTAAGAGACACGTGACTCATGCCGAGGATGGGAACCACTGCCCAGGTCATCATGGCATGCACACAGAATCCAACTACAACGAAGCGCCGCTGGAAATCGTAGCTCTGGGACGTTGCAAAGCGTCCAAGGAGTCCACCCAAGGGCTGTGAGGCCAGATGGGCACCAAGAAGGAGCCCGGAAATTGTGGCATCAGCATGCATCTGCACACTGAGATCGAAAACAATGGGGACCAGGATTGTCATGTCAATAGCTGAGAGCGCCACCATTAGCAATACTGTGCTTTGCATGGTGAAAGCCTTCTGCCCTGGATTCTGTTGGAGAAGCCGCAGCCGGCAGCCGACCGTGAAGACTACCACGGCCAAACATGCTGTAGAAGCCAGACATAGGTCCAGGGGAAAGCCGGACCTATGAGAAGCTGACTGCACCAAACTCCACATCGCTGCCAATTGGGGCACAGCAGTAGCCGACCATTGCGTGCTTTCGGGCCAGCGGCTTGCACAAAAGCCAAATTCAAGCAAGCTTGTTGTTGATGCAGATTCACTCTGAAGTTTCTGCCCGAATTAAGGGCCCTTACATATTCACTATTGATTCTGTTGCACCCTTAAAACAACCTCGGGCCCCATAGGTTAGGACCTCAGACATGTTGGCAAACCCTCATCCATCATGCTCCCCTCAAACCAATGCAAAAACACTCCCACCCCACCCAGAATTTGTATGAGGGATTGATGGAGGCGGCCTTGTGCCTCTTGGAACATGTTGTAGCGTGACCTACACATGACTTCCAGTTCCCTAAAGCCCATTATCATATCATGTGGGGGTTCCCGACATAGGGATCCCTTTCTGGGAGTTCCTAAAAAGAGGATCATGTCATTTTGGCGTCGAAAAATGGGCGGCCTCCCCCCGTCCCCATTTATGGATTTCGATATTGATTAATTTGCAACATCCAAGCTCGCCCTCAAGTTGCATCTAGGCCCTAAAGCCACCGCAAGTACTTTAGAAGCCCCATGGCTCTGCAAAGTCTGAACTTCAATCTTGTCCAGCTGTTAAGAGGATGCTGTAAGGCAACCCATTAGTCAAAGCAACCTGCTAAAGGTGCCAGAACAAGTGAGTAGTGTTTTTTGGAGGTTGAACCTAGTAAGATTATATTCCTTATTATATAAACTACTATACCCCAAAAGGAGGATATGATCTTACTCTATATTGGGTACCATAGTATCCCCAAATAAATACTGCTCAAGTATCAATAATGGACTATGAAGTGGAACAGGAAATGGACCCTAGTATAGGCAATTATCTGATCTTCTACAGTACCCAAGAACTGAACCACAACCCCTGAAGCCGGGGGTACTACAAGAGCACGTGACCATCAACGCGAACGGTGCCTGAGGAACGTCATGTACTTCAAATGTTTCCTCCAGTAATTGTCAATCTGCATGAGCAGCACCTGCGCATAGGAAGAAACTGACAGCAACTCACCTGATTTTTGGAGAGGCGGAGGATTTTATCTACTGGAGTTGCGACTGCGGATTGCGGATGCTTCTTCGCTCCCCCCCTCCCCCCTCCGCTCGACCTACCCCAGTTCACTCATCTCTGCCCCCTAAAAATTACAAGCCGAATCAGGGATGGCTCTACACATGTCACATTGACGGCATAGGGGCGATTTGGGTGACCTTAACGTCTTAAAGCCAGGCATGCAGTCAAGCGAGCAGTTTCATGGTTTCCCATGCAAAAAGGCTACTTGTGAGGACATCTGAGAAGAATGAACGTAAAGACTGCATATGGTCACCCTACTCAACCAGACTTGGAGGCATCACGAACATCGGGTTTCAATCCCAATAACAAGGTGCTGGCGTTATAATTCAGATTTCCTGATACCCCGTGTTGTTTCTTGACAGCCCGCGTAAAAATATGGTATAATACATATATACCCCCCCAGCCCCTATCCTTGTTAAATAGATCCGGTTAGGGTTTAGGATTTAGGGGCCTACAATCTCCACCCCTATAAGAACCAGGTTCCAACTCCTTTACCATTATCCTTTCCAGCTGATTGTACATTATTGTCACGAATCAGGCTGAATCCTAAGCCTTATATATCTCCACACACCCTTACATGAACCTTTAAATGGATACATACATAAATAAAAACATAATATATATATATATACATATGAAAATATATACATACTCACATACATATATATATATATATACATACGGACACACACCTCCCCCCCAGTTGATCCACCGACCCTTGGAAACCATACAAATACCGCTACAATCAAATATTTTTGAAAGCGCGGACTTTCAACATTTCAACACGCCCCAGTTCCGCAATGGGTATTGACAAATTTCGTGTGTGTTCAAGATTTTGTTGGTTTCGCAAGATTTTGAATTACATACGTACTCAGCAACTACGGAAGCACAGGACGCACAAATAGATACATGATCAACATAAAAACTGTAGGAACCATGGTGGCCGGCCAAAAAAACCTTTTCCTTTTTGCTTGCCGAGGAAAAACTGGCTTTCCTAGGAAAGCCAACAACATTTTTTGGCCCAGCCATAATACTTCTCCACCCAACGTCAGTTTTCTTTTCATCAAATCGTCCCTGGGAAAGATGTTGTTTTCTCAAAACCACAACAACTCTTTGGCTTTCGTATGGCTTTTGAAAAAGAAGCCATATTAGCGAACCCAAAGGACATCCGATTTGAATTGCGGTTTCATTCATCTCCTAGGTTGTGCTTTTTGTGTATAAGGCTTTTTAAGACGACTTTATATGAACAAACCCAACGGAAACAACATTCAGAATTATGGGGCTCCCTCTCTTTCTTGGTCTTTATAAATCTTCCTATACATGGAATTACAAATGAACCCAAAGGAAATTTGATTGGAATTCGGGATTCCTTAATTTCCTATGTTCTTTCGCTTCTGTCAGGCCTCTACAAAGGAATGGTTAAGGCTGACCTCAAAGGAAATGAAAGTGAGAATTAGGAAAGTCCTTCCTTTCTTAAGTCTTGATTGCTTGAGGTTTTTACAAAAGAATCTATACACAAGGACCGCAAAAGATCTGATTGGAACAGGGATCTCCTTTATGTCTTAGTTATCTGTTAGTTTAGCTTCATAACTTGTTAATGTGGTCTCATGTGAGCTATAGTCTAAGCTCGTAGTTTCCCCTTGAATAACCCCTATAATGATCCCTATATACTCCCCATATAACCCTCTTTGAGTATGGACTAACTCATGTAAAAGGAACCCCAAGGAAATTGTTTCAGAAGTGTGGATCTCCTTTACTTCCTACCAGGCCCAGTTGTTTGATTGTTTTCAAACGGCGTGTGTAGGCATTTGTGCAAAGGTAGAGGAAGGTTAGTTAAGATCTCCTCTGTGATTTTGGCTTCAACTGTGGTTTGTTAATGTTTTCTAGGCCGAGAAGTTATTTCTATACCACATCTTTCTGAGATGATATCGGCACAGAGTCCTCACTGCCCCGCCTCATACAACTGTAAAGTATGTGTGTGCCAGCCCACAGGTGCGCATTTTCTGTCTGAAAAAGGCTTGTCCGGTGGAGGGCTCTGAGCATAGATGTGTATATGTACATATATATATATATACCCCTAAATCCTACACCCTATATCCCTATGCCCCCATATCCCTATACCCCTAAATCCTACACTCTATATCCCTATCCCCCATCCCTATACTCTTACAGCCTCTATCTCAATATCCCGAACTATCCACACATGAGTAGCGTTTTTTGGTGGTTGAACCTAGTCAGATTATATTCCTTATGCGAAATACTATACCTGAAAAGGAGGATAGAATCTTACTCTGCCCAGTATCCCCAAACTACTCACATTGGGGCTCTACCGGCCGAGCCATGCCTGGCGAAATACGGCAAGGTGCAGCTCCGGCGCATCTTCGTCGATCCTGGCAGGCTTCAGTTCAGGGTGTAGGGGTTTAGGGTTTAGGGTTTAAGGGATTAGGGTTTAAGGGTTTAGGGTTGAGGGGTTTTGGGTTTAGTTAGGGTTCAGGGGTTCAGGGGTTTAGGGGCTAAACCCTTGGTTTTAGGGTTTAGGGGTTTTAGGGTTCAGGGGTTTTAGGGGCATTGGGTTTAGGCTTTTAGGGTTTGAGGGTTAAGTGCTCAGGCTTGCGGTTTTGGGGCTTAGGGCCTTAGGACCCAAGGGGTATACAGGGAGTATAGGGGGAGTGTAGAGGGGTACTGTTTGGAAGTTGCGTAGCGATTGTGGTGGGCGATGCCTATATGGGAGTTGGGGGCCACTCACCTCTGTTCAACATCTATTCACAGAAGTGCCTGCACTGCTTTGTAAGATACCCTGGTGTGAAGACAGCAAGAACATTGGTTCTTTTTGTAACTCCAGCTCTCTCAGGCTTTGGTACGACCAGTATCCCAGGGACTTCCAGGCGTTGCACAAAAGCTGGTGGGCCCTGACCTGAAGATTGGCCCCACTGTACCCTCGGCTCCACAAATGTAGGGTCAAGCGTTTAGGGCGGCAATAAGCACCCTATTCCATCTCTGGGAAGGCTTCAAAAGCAGGAGCAGCGTAGTGGACCCAACGCCCAAACCTGCATGTCCGATGGTGAGATCTCAAACATACCTCCCCAAAACCCAAACCCTAAAACCTGAGAAATCATAAGCTCTCAGCACCCAAACCGTTAACAAACATACATCTTATCCCTCAAAAATGAACCCTAAACCCTAAAACTTGCCACCTGCCTTGCAGCTTTTCGGTCGATTGCCTGCAGCGGCCAAAGGGGAGTGCGCACAAGCCCTTAGCAGGAAACAGCACGAGGAAAAGATCCCCGAAACTACGAAACCACTTCTGCCATGAACCTGTGTGCCAAGCCCATTAAGCACGCAATGCCAAGGCAATTGCGGCATGCCTGCCCGAGACAACCCACAAATATTCCACGCCCCACTGCACTTGTTGTATAAGGCCGACATGGAACCCAACAAAAAAGGAAGACTGCATGATAGTTCTCAACAGCATTGTCCCTGTGTGTTGCCTCACGCGCATAACAAAATCCACTTCCGAAAGTCAATTACTTTTAGAAATGCAAAAGAAAAACGATGACCTTTCTGGCTTGGAGCACCTTCCCTAGGCCCTTTCAAAGCCACCGAAACTCCAGAACCCGCTTGCAATGATGTGTTCTCGACATGGGGGAATATTGCGTCCCTATGCAATATTTGGTGGAAAGGACTTGCCATATGTATGGCGGCCCAGTATACGCCCTGTCATCCTAATTCATGGGACGCGCGCAAAGTAGGACCCTAATCTAAAAAGCAAGCCTTGTAGACTGCGATTTCAACCCAGGTTCCATTCAGGTTTCCATTTTCCTTTCTATTTGACTCTCCAGTATTGGGTCAATAATCCCAAATTAATCCCAATATTTCTTTTAGAAACTTCGAATGCCAGGCCTCCAAACTTTCCCGCTGAACCCACTGTAGGAGGGCTCGGCGTCCCTGGCGACCGTCTCCCAACAAGAAGTGAAAATGAGGGATGAACATATTCGGGTCCCTTGAAAGGGGGTTGCAGGTTATACAGGATTGTAGAATGTTCAGTCTTAGACTAAAGGGACTTTTCAGGTGGGGAGTTACGTGCCAGCTTGGTACCTGACATGCAGCTATATTGGAGGTATGCAAAGTCTATATGAAGCTTTTATGCTGGAAGCTACCCACCTGAAAATCCTTTAAGATCGATTCCTTTCTACTGGTCCCTGCAACTCGAAGACTGTAGAGGAATAAAAGAGGATCTCAGGGTTCTCTTTCAAATCAAAAGTTGCTGATGGACTTATAAAAACTACAAGCATTAAATTAGGTTGAGAAAAGCGGTCTACCTGAGGGTCACACGACTGCACCTCGTCACCGCCAGCACCGGATGCAGCTCGAAGGTCGTCGGGGGTCACTGTCCTGATGCGCTTGAGCCGCTTGAGCGTGAACCCCACTCAGGGCGCTCATGTCATCCCTACCCAGCTATGGAGGTCCCTGAAGATAATATCCGTTTATGATATCTATCGTTGAATATGCGCCTGTCTCGGTTCATGTGCGTCAGTTATGTCAAGATTGGGGCAAACGATGCACTAAAGACTTCATACAATCCAGTTGCCCAAGTTCCAAGAAACAGATCCGTGCAACTCCACGAAACATCGGGTACAGAGATTGCAAGAGCACAACGGAAACCCGTCACAGCCATATAAAGCAGTGCACCATTCTATCAGTTGACTCTGTTACACCCGTAGCCCTGCGCTTCCCTCTAGAACCCACAACTCCTAAAGCCCACATCCCTGAAACTCTCATCTCAAAACGCTCTGAAGCCCAAAGAACCTCATCCCTTAAGCCTAAACCCTCCGCCACCCTAAACCGCCGAGCTCTTCTAAAGCAAGACTTCCAGATCCAAAGCCGAACCTCTACTACTTCAGTTCCATGGCGCTGACTGCAGGGCCTAGTGGTTGCCAGCACCACGTTGAGCTCTAGTGGGGGTATTTCTTTATCACATGCCTCCACGGAATGTAGGACCACTATCCTGGCAACTATTCAGGGTACAGTAGCAGAACACTAGAAGAATGCGCTATGGGGATAACTATAAGGAATTCTGCAACTTTGGGGATCCATGCCGTCATTCCCTATTGAGCAGCAAGTAGACTACCTCAGCCGGGCCGCAATGTACCAGTGAACCATGCGGATAGTTTTGTTGCCATTCGTTCCAGCGGCCAACTCTCAACAGGCCTTATAGAGAACAGGCTTCTTAGGGTCCAGGGTTTGCGGTCTGGAGTTTGGGGTTTCAGGCTTGAGGTTTTGGGGTGGGAGGGCTCTTCACCAACTGCATGTCCATCAGCCTAATGGGGGGATCTGTCTTGAAAAGACCGCTTAAACAAAAAGGGGTGGAGCCTGGGCTTTGCGGCTCACGGTGTGGGTTCAATGCTCACGGTTCAAGATTGAGGACAGGGTTCAAGGCATGCTCTCCCAGATCAAGAGAGAGTGAAAAACCTTAAGCCCAAACCCTAAACCAGGAATCTTAGAGATTGTCAAGGGACTTTAAGAAACCACAAGTAGCATGGGATAAGGCAGCGCAAAGCAAATGAGAGCGCTTGTCCGCGCCTAATGCACAGTTTGAGGTTGGTAGAAATTTTAGGGTTGATACCCCTACCCCTTAACCATTCATGGTTGTGATAGAAGCAGGAGGTTAGTGAACAACGAAGCCAAAACGCGAAGGCTTTGGGCTTGTTTATTTCCGGATGCTCCGCGAATCCTATTCTGGGATATACCGTGTAAGAAAATGTGACGTAATACATATGTAGTAGAAAAGTATTACACGTATGATGTATAATACGTTGAGCACTGCCTGCATAATATCTGAAACCTTGGGCCCTGCGGCGCAGCGATCCATTGCGGCTCAGGCGACTGACTCCCGGAAATCAACTGCTCCACAAGTTCCTCCATGCTCTCCTGGCAAGGGCTTGGAGTTCAACCTAGGTAGGCACGATACAAAGTACTAGTGGCATCTACCATAGTAGATCTGAGAGAGACTACAGTAAGGACTAATTACAGGAGATTACCTGATTACCTGGTTACAGCGCAGGCTTTGCCCTACATAGGCTTGAGATCTAGGCCTGACATCGCTGAAATGTTAGGGGTCCCATAGTAGTCAGAGGGATTGCATAGGGCATTGGTCCTCCAGGAGTCCTACATCATGACAGTCTGAGCTGAGAGCTTCGGGTTTGGAGGTCAAGTGCTCTGGGGTTTGCTTTATGCTTGGGTCTTGTGGTCTAGGACCTCAGGTGACGATCAAAATAGTCACTGATCACGACCTCTCGTAACTTTGGGAGGTCCTTTCCATTCAGAATACTATGCCGATTAAATCTAGACGAGGTTACAGGGGATATGAATCCTACAAGAATGGTCAGTGCTCGCAAGCCTGACGAATATTGGAACAGACTCAAACTCCAAATAGTAGCACCAAAATGAAGTGGGACTTCTGCTGGATTTCATTTCCAATACCCGGATCCGGAGAAGTAAGCCTCGGCGAGGCGCATAAGTAGGGAAGATATGAAAGGACTCATCCCCTCCCCTAGTGGTGACCCCCTCCATCCCCTTAATCATTATTCACCACATCCCAAAAAATGATTGGGCGGGGGGGGGGGTGGTTCGGCGCGGTATATTTTTAGCGGGGAGAGGATCACTACAGGAATTCATTTCTTTATATGGCAAAGCTGTAACCCGAACCTTGAAACCTTCGCTCCCGCTCTCGTAGGCGGGCTCGGCATCTTCAGCCCAAGTGAGGAACCCAATATCCCCAAGGCCGTGAACGAACCAAGCGCGGCCCACCGTGCAGTAGCTGCGGAGGGAGTCCAGCACACCATCATCCGAGTCCAGAAGCGCTTTCCGGCGCACACCATAAACAACCTGAAGGGTCTGGAGCTTGGAGGATTCAGGCCGGGGTACAGCGAAGGAAGCGAATTCTCTTAAGTTTAAGTGAATTTAATTCCTAGGCATTTTTCTGCCACCACAAACCTGCAAGCGGTTTAACTCTGGCCTGTCTTTGCTGGTCCAGGACTTCATCGTACTTGAAGACGTCCTTCCGGATCCCGAAGAAAAAGCCTAGGTGAGTGTAGAGCTCCAACACCACAGATAAGGCTTCTTTTTGTTGGCGGTAGGACAATGGTAGGGGAAATTATGCAGAGGACGAAATGAGGATCCTCCTTGCCTTGGTAAGAGCATGGAGTCTTAGTAGCATCCACATTGATTTCCCAGCAGATCCAAGTACAAGGCTAGAAGACAAGGATGGAGAGTTGCTGGTGGGTTTAGCCTGTGTGCCTGTTGTTCTGGCAGGTGGGCATTTGCATGGCATGGTCAGAACAAAGACCTTTTCCGTTTAGAAGCAGCCAGCCCTCCTAAGTCCATCTAGGTCTCAGTCATGGGCTGCATTATGAGAATGAGGTCTGCGGCAGTTCAATTTGGTCTTTGTGCGAAGGGTGATTCTACACCAATGCTATGAGCAAGTATTTGGGATCCTAGGTGGTAGGTTGGGACAACCCACCTTATTCTGTCGAGACATACTGCCTGACTAACGCAAAGCAGCTAGAGTTCCAGGAGCCAACAGGGCTCTTTCCACTCCAGAACCGCCCGCCTCCACACGCCACGCACTCCCCAAGACAAAGCTCCCCCCCCCACACGGTTTGCATCCCCCCCCCCCAATAACAACTGTCTTTCTTATGCATAACAGTCTACATGGAAAACAACTATTGTTGCCGGCGGCGGTCTGTGTGCCCAAGATAATTTTGTTAAGAAAACGCAGATGTGTACCTGTGTACCTATGGTTTCTCGCTTACCTAAACCCGCTTCTGAAACCAATCCCTCCAATACGTAAAACAACGTGAGCAACTTAGGGCCCCCGCAAGTCATTCCCCAAAAGCATTGGCTGTTTGAGCGCATCAGTTGGAGCACGGCACGTAGTTTTCTAGTTAAAGATGGGGCCGCTGCTTCAGAAACCAGTCATGTAAGCTGTGAAGGCTCACAACAGGGCACTATTTGGTGAGTGGTGGTGCAAGCATCTTAAGATTGTGTGATTGCCGTTAGTCTGAATAGTTGTCATTACTTATTCTGCCAAATCTGTCAGAACATGAGTGGGACTCAGGATTCATGAGCCGCAAAGTACTTCGACCCTCCTCTGCCATGGCTGCCGAGAAGCTTTGCACCTGATTCTGCGCCTCATCGATGGCGCCAGACACCAGAGGAGATACCATTGGCCTTTGGGTGGAGCTTGAGGGTCCATGGAAGGGGCTTTTGGCCATCCTCATGTAGATAGGATCTATACATTGAACACTGAAATTGCTGCCTGGATGGTGCATCGTTTTTTACTTCAAGGGTTACCAGATGCTGCACATGACAGCAAAAGATGCGTTTCATATTCTTCCTTGACCGGCAGGCACTGTGTCTGTATTCCGGTGGATTTTAACAGGGGGGAAGGCTTAGGGCCCAGGGCTTGCAACCACTGAGTTCAGCTGAAGTGACACGTCGTCCGCGCCACCTTAGCACACTGAGCTGCCGCAGGGCTGATGCATCGGGCCCCTTGTGCTTGCAGGCTCAGGGGTGTTTAGTTGGAGATCCAGTTTGTGGCGTGTCTCCTGTCAGACAGATAGAGCTTCCGCAAAGCCAACAAGAACGAAATTGCTACGTCAGGGATGTCTAGCCCTAGGAGAAACATGCGGGTACAGCCACCCATATCCGCCGTCAGCATGCGAATTGTGTCGCCGCCAAACACACGAAAGACCTGGCAGAGCATGTATAGAGTTAAGGCTGCAGGGATTGTTGCGTTCTTTGGGGAGCTTGAGAAGTTTTTCTCACAAAGAATCCCCTTTTGGTGGTCTTTGATGAAACCCTTGCCGTTTCTCCTGTGGTTAAACGTGTACTTACCACCTAGGTATTTTTTGAGCCTGACCTCCAGTTAGGGGGCTCAAGCTCTGCGCGGTCAGGGCATGAGCTGAAGCTTTCAGAGTTCCCCTGGACTGGCTTGGCCTTTCAAACCAAGTTAAACCCCATAACCCTAAACCGCTTGAACTCCTCAACTGAAAGTCATCTAGGGGTTTCTCAAAGGAGGCTGGCATGGGTGGGCCCCAGATGATCGGCGTGCCTGCTCTGGCCGGTGATAACTATCCCCGGCACCCCCAGCCTCCTGTGAGGCCCAAACGGGCAGTAAATAACCATTGTTAGAGCTTAGGGGTGATTTAAGCTGAGCGTTGTATAGGATCACGCGAAAGTCTAGTAGAGGGACGAATTTGAGACATGCCAACTTGACTTAAGTAACTTCTTTCAATTTATGCGGTGAGATCTTCAAATCAGACATTCCGAAAGTTCAACTTATAGAGAAGCAGTACACTAATTATTTTCATAGGATCTCATAAGCATGGGCCAAATTCGTGCTCCCATGGACGGCGTTCTTTAATGCAGGTCTACTTCGACCTCTACCCCCAAATATGCAGCCTGAAAAGGGCCCTTAAAAGGACTACGACCTTTCAATGAGGTTCCATGTTCACATAACCCCCCTCGAAGGACTGTAGTCTTTACGGGACCCCTTTTCTGATTTGTCTATTTCTGCCAAGGCCTGGGCCTTGTCTTACTGGTGCTTCAGGGGAGTGGGGGCGTAAATTAGTGGGGTTGGCCTAGATCACTCGTCCCAAAATGGGGAGATCTTTATAGTGACCCGTACTATCATGGAAGACCTATGAATTCAGGGAATACCTTTATTTGGGCTATGAAGGGATCCAATCCCCCACTCCCCCTCAAGCACCAATAAGTTGTTCGGAAAGAAGCGTCTTGCAAAACATGTATGTAAATTCGGCAATATGAAGGGAGCCCCGGATCGTAAAGAGAATGACTTAACACATGTCCACTAAAACGCCGCGGTCAAGAATGCTAGAAGTTAAACACAGTGCCCTGAACCCTGAACTCTAAGCCTTAAACCCATAAACCTGAAAACAATGGTTCCACCCCCTTCGAGGCCTTGTCGGTCAGACTCCTCGGCTGTTCTTGCAACAGGAAAACAAATTAAACATGAAATGGAAGCTAGGAGTGGGGTAGGATTTGGGGCTGACTTGTGGAGAGCAGGGAAAAGAACCCTTAAGCATCAGAAATAAACCCTCTGTCCGGAACGTTGCCCAAGCATACAAGATGCTCCCAGAAGCAGTAGTAAGTTCTCTCAAAAAAAAGACGAGAACAGCCGAAGCAGACCCTTCAGGCCCTACAGGTCTCGGCCATGTACATGTGGTAGGTTGCAAGATTTAGGGGGTCCCTTCTGGGTAGCCCTCTAGTTTGCAGTATAACTTATGTCTTGTGGCATATATGAGAAGTTGCATTACTAAACCTACTTTGCCAAGCGAATGCCTAAACTCTCCTTAAGAAGAAACCGCACACTCCTAATCGTCTGGTCAACTTTATATTCCTCTAGGCTCCCCATCACTGACCCCCTCGATGAGTTCCCTGGCCAAATAAAAGTTAACCCTGCAAGGATTTTTTTTAGGGATTCGCAGTTGGTCTCAATAAAGGCTAACCTTTAAAGTATACAAGGACTGCATATATCCCAAAAGGTCAAATGTTTCTATACTCAGCTACTGTTGGGGACCGAAGTAATTGCCCTTGTCATGTTGAGGTCTGTTTGAGGTGTGCTTAACCATGATTATGCAAGGAATCTAGGATCACAGAATTGGTAATCATTTAGGCCCCTACGTTGCATAATGCCTATCAAACCCCCATGTAAACCTAGTTTACATTTGTTTTCTATTTTTCCATCTGGTTCTCCCGTGCTGGCATTGCATTGGTAATTCTCTGATGACCAAAATTTCTATGAGCCACTACGTCACTACGTATCCCAGTTTCCATTTCATGTTCCATTTGCTCACCCATTCAATTCTCCATTATTACTCTATTCGAACTCTGTACATACACACACACATATATATATACATATCCATATCCAAAAAGGTCAAAGGCATCCCGGTTATCCACAAAGCTACTAAGGGATACCGAGATTCAGGAAGAAGCGTGAGCTCCCAGGGTCTCCCTGGCGGCCAGCGCGGCCTCGCAGCTGGTTGTCGATGCGCCGGGCCTGTCTAGAACCCCAAGAGAGCTCCGTCTTCGTTTAGCCTGTACTCTTCTTTTTTGTAGGTTTCAAGGGTATGGGCTGCGTTCAGGCTTTTGGTTGGAGAGTTTGACAGTTGAAGTCTGCGGTGTAGCTTGAGCGATTTACAATTTGTCTTTTAAGACCTGGGATTTACATGGAGCGCAGAGAAGCAAACATGATCCCTCTTGGAAACCTGCTCTGCCCTTACAACGACTAAACACAGCCCTCATTGGGACCCAGGCTTGCTTCGAATGGCTGCACGACATCTTAGTGCCAAAGGAGCGTGGCTTCCCGGAGCTCCCAGCGCGCCCCACTTTGGATAGATGCATACTTGAGGTTCCGTTGTCGGATCTCTGAAGGGGTCTGGGTCAAAGGCGCCCCTTCTTTGATTGAGGGAATCTCCTGTCCAGCCTATCGCTCGCCATATTGCATTCATTTGAACACAAGTTACTCTAAAACATCGAACTTGGGAAGGCCAGTCCTCATCCCGAAGCTCTGTAATCTTAGCCCAGAACTTTTGACGATGGTTTACTTGCAGTAACTTTAACCATGCAGCGCGATAAGCCGTTGTTGCTGAATAACTGCCTGGCCCAAAAAAGCTTGACCTTCAGTGAAATATGACCACATGTTATGTGCCCACAAAGGTGAAAGGCTATCCCTCAGCTACTGTCAGGTCCCAAATACTTTTGACAATCACCGTGAAGTCTATGTGAGGTACCCTGTACCATAATTATACACGGAATCTAGGACCATAACATTGGTAAGTATTTAGGCCGCGACATGATATCATCCCAGTGTGCCTAACCCACCTTTGCATGTAGCGTCCCAGCGCCTCATGTCGCTCTGTGCCAAGCACGCAGAGGCCACCGGCCTCAACGACCTCCAGACAAGGGCTATGGCTTATCCTGGGATTATGCAGGGATACATAGGGTTGTATGGGCTCATGATTACACGGTTATAAGGCGTTCTGTAGGGTTATATATATATATATGTATATATATATATGTGGTTACATAGGTTATGTGGAGATTTAATTTTGATATCTAAGTAGTAATAGCAATAATAGTAATACTTACCTAAACCCCCCCCAAGTTGCACCCCCCTCCCAAGGCAGCAGCGGCTTTGAGAAGCAAAGCTATGGAAGGTGCCACCTTGCGGCCCTCGCGCGCAGTGGCTTCCAGCAGATACTCCTGTGCCTGCACATGAAAATGCAGAGCATGCAGTTTGGCGTGCATGTGGGCCGAAAATCCGCCTGGTGTTGGGCTCCTGTAGTTATATGCCAGAACCCGTGTTCTAATGGAAATTCAACTATACAAGCAGGGTGCTCAAACAAGGAAAAGGGCTGTCCATCTACCTGCTTAACATCTAACACCGAAGGAATGCTCGAGCCTTCTCATAGGCTACTTTTAGCGACTGCACCGCCGCGCTGACGGCGTCGCTGGGTTGCTGCAAAGCCTTCACGTGGGTAAGTGGGAAGTCCGACTGAGGGCTATAGGTTGAGACGTCTTAGGACCCGCAAGCTGTGTGGCTACCATAGCCACCCTAGTTATTACCAACATCAATCAAGCCTCTTTGAGGTACCCTATACCGTAATTATACAAGGAATCTAGAACCATAATGTTGGCAATATGGCCCCTACATTACATTACACAAGCCCAGTTTCCATTTCATTCACCATTTCTCTTCCATGTGTAGTTCTTTATTTGATACCTGCGTTCCCTGGCCTCTCCTTTCAAGGCCCGCTCAATGTCGTCCGGTGCCAGCGAGGGAGCAGCGCTTGCGACGAGCTGGGCGGCAAAGAGAAAATCAGCTGTGAGATCCAAGGAAGTCTATTCCTCGACCCCAGAAAGTATACAGTGTAAAACAACGGGCTCTTCGACTTTTTATGGCTTTTGGGATGCTTGGGCAATTATGTTACCTAGTTGCGGGGTCCAGGGGGTCTATCAGTCCCTTGTTATTCCGCCTTGGAAACCCCGCATCTTCCTGCCGAAGGCACCGAACAGGCAAAGGTGAGTTCTTCTTGGAGTGAATCCTTAGCTGCTTCGTGAGTTTCTCAAAGCAGCAGGCCGAAGGGACCCCAGGGATGTATAGGGACTGGAAGGACACGGTAGGGGTCCCCATGAAGTATCGTACATCCAGTGACTACTTTGATTAACTCTCATATTTTCGGCGAAGCACAGCCAGAGTGGCTAGAGTGGGACATTAAACCCTAATGCCGAGAAGGCTACGGACGGCTACTACCATCGCGTTCGTTGGCACGATGTCTTCAAACGGGCCACGTTCGCTCCCTAAACCCCCAACCCTAAACACTATAATGGGGGAATATTTCCGAACGGCGGCGAAGGAATACTGTTAACTACCAATTCTTCAGGTTGTTACATGCCTATCCCCACACATTCAGCCTTAATGAAACGATGCCCCCAACATCAAAGGCACCCTAGCCCTCACAGCGTCCTCCCAACATACAGCGGCCACTAGGGGGAGCATCTAACTGTCAATAAGACACCTCGGGGAAGGGTAACCCTTACCTCCACATCTATACTCAAGCTTCTTATCCCCTCCTATGACAAACAACCGCCCCCCTGATGATGAATATTCGCAACGTCATACCCTCATAGAAAACCGGGAATACTACTTACTAGTGGGGAAGGGTTCTTTCGCCAAGGATCCTAAACCCAAAGTCCTAAACACTACATCGTGCGGCCCTACACTTTTCATCAAGGGGAGGATCCCTAAACCCTAAACTCTAGATATCCCTATACTTTCCCATATGTATCTATTTATCTTTTTCTCTATATATATATACACACACACAGAAAATTACGCCCCGAGGGCCCACGTATATATATATATACATATATATATATACGAATACATTAATATGTAAAGACGTGTATATGTTTTTTCCTATGTCCTATGTGTCCGCATTTCAGCTTCTACGTTGGCCAGGGATCCGACAGTGGCAAGCAGAGCTGGGAGAGCTCAGGGCCCTCCTCATCCGGAGCCTAGGAGGCCCCAACAAGCCAGCAAAACCCGATAGCCCCCCTTAAGTAGATAGAATATGGCTTTGGGTATACTATAATAAGATCCCCGTATACCCCATATTCTATCTACTCAAGGGGGACTATACTTGGGTCTGGAGGGGGAAAGGGATTAGGAGTGGAGTTTAAGGGTTTAGGGATTTAGGGGTTCAGGGGTTTGGCGTTTCAGGGCTTCAGGGTTTCCAGGCTAAGGGTCGAACAGCCCTAGGGCTCAGTAGCTGCGTCCACATCTGCGGGGGTGTTTGTCAAAAATGACGTTCGCTTACGGAGGTTGGACGTCCACTGGTGTTTGGCATGCTCAAAATGGACCCCTGTAGTCTGAAAGCAAAATGCCATACATATATATATATATATGTGTGTGTGTGTATACATATATATATATATTTACATAAATATCTGCGCTTTATACACTAGGCGATGCCTCCAACCTGTGAAACATAGTCAGCCGCCACCGAGCTGCCGCTGCAAAGGCACCCCGTAAAGCTTCCTCACAAGGGTGGGCTCTCCCTGCGACCTCTCGTGATTCTGTAGAAATTCTTAGATCTGCAGGGCTCTACCTAAATGGCTTTGGAATCAGCAAAATGGAGCTATAAGCCCTTGTGTCCCGTAGTAAGGCCGCCTAGTGTAAGGAATTCTTTAGTCTTATGAGGGGCTTGTTCTGCTCGTTCGGAAGGGCCACTTGGGTCGATTGTAAAAGTAGCTCTTGGACTGTTGTTTGCTGCCATCGCGGGTTCCCAAGAAGCAGACGCTGACGGCTGCAGCTGGCTGAGGGGACCTTGTTTGTTGATCACAGCCGCTCCAGTGTGAGCACATTGCTACTTCAGATTGTGCGGTGCCCTGGCGCTGAAGACTGTTTGCAAGGACATCCGAACAGCTGCCAGGAGCTTGCGAAGAAATTCGATGCACTGGAAACAGCTACTTATCTCACTCTCAAGCACGAAGCGCAACACCGGAACCCCCGTTCTCTCAAAGATAAATCAAATTGTGGAGTCTTCTCGCGGGAGTTATCTTGGAGTGCAGTGTATACACAGGAACACTACTGTTCTTCTGGCCCCCATGATATAAAGAGATTAGAAGTGAACCATGGGGGGCTTATCAGGTAGTATATCGAAGTTATTCTGAAAAGTATCCAGGCACCGGCTTGCGCCTTAGGCCCGGCCTGCACCCGGTAATAGTGACTACACGGGATACTTGTAATTATATTAAGGTCTTCATGTATTCCTTTAACACCCCTGTGGCTGGATACCCTAAACCCTGCGTCCTGCAAGTAGAGCTTTGCCATGCCTTTGCCATCGCCGCCGAGGACAATGTCGGTGCCCCGGCCTGGCGTCAAAGGACGTCCTGGAGGGGCTAGGGTTTAGGCTTCAGCAACAACTACAGCAGGGGAGTTCCATGTGTGGAGACATAACATCAGGAGTATTTGAGGCGTATTTAGGGACCATGGGGAGGGTGCATGCAGCTTGTACAGGGTCCATCTCTTTCTGTAACTGCTTCAGATCTGGGTAGAGAGACTGCAGGTAGCTAGATCCTTCCTGAGGATGTCAATGCCGAAGCGAGTCATCGTCAAACTATTACCGTAGTACTACATGTAGTAGGAAGTTGAATCTAAAGATCTGCTTCCTAAGCCAAATTCACCCTTAACTGTCATCTAGGCGATGTTTTGCAAGTCTTTGCAATGCATCCTTGACTCGAGTAGCAAGCTTGATCTCCCTCTTGATGGCCCCAGTCTCAGTAGAGCCCTCCCATATATAAAACTTTTTAGGGTTGAGGGGTTGGAGAATCCAATGCACAAGACAATGGACAATGAAGTGGAAGCTACTACTCAGGGTTTAAAGGGATTATAGGGCTTAGGTTTAGGGTTGAGGATAACAAGCCGGGCCAATGCTTTTTCCTCACCAGTGGCTTGAATTATCAGTAACCTTCTCACCGAGATCATGCGATCGCCATTCTTGTTTCACAAGCCAAGAAGTGTTTTTTGGCAACCCGGGACCAAGAATACAAACCTATGACTGTCAATTGTTGTAGGGTCCGCATCATATGAGCTATAGTCTAAGCTCCTAGTATCCCCCTCAATAAGCCCTATGAGGTCACCTATATGATCTGCCATATAACCCCCCTTTACGGACTCTTGACTATATCTCATATATCATTTTTGGGGTTCACAGCAAGCCACTTCAAACCCCAAACTTTGGCCCTATGCCCTGAGCCGTACTACGCCTTACTCAACACTAAACTTCGGGCTACAAGCCCTGAACCCGAATCCCTGGGAAGCCCTCAAGTTTGGCTCAGATGTCTTCACCCTAAGCCAGGCTTCTACAAATACCACCACACCACCAATTGCGAGGTTTCGCCTGCCATGTTCGTGGCGATGGTAATGGCTCCAGGGAGACCGCCCGCAGCCACAATTTCCTTGTCTAAGGTTGTTGAGCTAAGGTTTCCTGTCGTCCCCTTAGAGCTATAATGAAAAATCATCAATAATTCCTGAGGTTATACTATGATAGAAATACAGAATAATTCCCAACAAGACTACAGTTTCAGGTTTGGGGTTCCGAAATTTAGGGTTTCAGGGGGTCGGCATTCAGCGTTTGAAGTTTCAGGGCTTGAGGCTTGTGGGTGTAGGGTTTGAGGAGTGGGTTTTTCGTGCTGAATGGTACAGTGCAAGACATCTTTGGTGGGCTCGTACGCCAAAATTGCCCGTGGTTAGCATGCAATGGAGGAAGTGCTTCCTATAGCAGTCTCTATATGATTCCCTTCAGTCACTCCCCCTGCTTACAACCGAGAAGAAAAGTCTCCGATTCTGCCCTGATCTTGGTGAGGATGCACTCCAACAGCCCTACCCTATGACCCAACATCTCTGTCAACCCCGAACCCTAAGCCTTGAACCCTCATCATAACTTTGCTTGTCACGAGAGTACCTGTACAGGGTCCAGGGTCCAGGGTGCACTGCAGAAGCTTGAAAAATACCAGCATCATCTTGAGGGCTTGTCGAAGTACGAAGTACCCTATGCTATGCTTGTAGAATGAGTAAACCTGCAGCCATACCACTGGTAATCATCTTTATAAGCCTTTTTTCATTTTCCATCTTCTGTGTCATGTGAGTGTGCCTATTCAGGCCAAAACCATGAACCCTACCCTGCCGTGAGCCTTACACCCTCAGCCCTAAACCTTCAACGCCAAATCTCTACACCCTGGTTTTCCCCAATCTGGCCCCAGTACAGCCTCTGTATGGCCCAATGTAATCTTGTAGGGTTCCTTAAAAGAATCCCCAAACTCAGAGGTACGACCCTAGGGGTGCAGCCCTGGTACTCTTGAAACACCAAAACCCCAAAATTTCCAACCCTAAGTCCTAAACGCAAAGCCTCCAACCCTAAGTCCTAAACCCTGAGCCCCAAGCCTCCAACCCAAGGTCCTAAATCTCAAACCTCCAACCCTAAGTCCTTAAATGCCCTGGGCCAGCCATGAGGCGGCTTCCCGCGCGGCATTCTCAGGCTTGGCATTCAGCAGCTTGAAAGCCTAAGGTGTCCCGGCCCCTTCAATGGGGTATATACATATATATATATATGAAAAAATGTGTGTGTGTGTGTACATATTTATATGCATAATATGTATATATATATATATGTATGGTGTGGGTATGTGTATATATATATATATGTAAATATGGATAGGGTTATAGGGTTAAGGCATCAGGGTTACCCCAATAATGGACACGGGAAGCGTCAGGTCCAGGAACCCAAAGTCGGAACCCAAATGGTAATCAGTATATTGAGGTTTAGGGTTTAGGGTTTACCCATAGAGGTCTACCTAAAACCTAAGCCGCTTATAAGTCATAAAGGTCTCCTACCCCAAATCCTATGGCCTACACCAAAAGCTCCCCTGAAACTTTAGGTTCCAACTTCATGTTTCAACCCGACGCCCTTCGACTTAGGGTTCCCAAATGACCTTAATCTCCAAAATTTCAAAACCAACATGACCCCGCAGCAAAGTCTAAGTAATGGTAAGAAGCTAGGCCTTCTCTGCTGAGGTAGCCTGCGAGGAGCTCCGAGTTCCTAGGCTGAGGGTCCAGGGGTTTTGTGCGTGAGGCTGCAGATTTAAGGGCTGAGGTGTATAGGGGATTATGTAGGGGTAAGGATTATACAGGGACAATGGTCAAGAAAAAGGAAACTACTATTGAGGGTTTAGAGCCCAGAGTTGTACTTTCAGAATTTACAGATAGAGCGGTGCAAGTAGAAATGGGGACAACACGACAACAAAAGCTACTTCTCAGAATAGCTAGAAGTATGTGACCGATGCTTTGGGGTGATGCTGTTGATGTGTGGTTTGTGCCGGAATAACCTTGACCTTAGAACGTCCCATTTTCCGGCCTCGAGCTTCGGCATACTGGAACAGTCTGCAGGCTGTGGAGTCATGAGGTTTGAAACATCTGGTAGAATGGTTTGGTGGCGCATGGTGGCACAGGCTCCTGTGAAACTACAAGATGGATTGTGCTTAATCAAGTTTATTCTGACCACCTCCATGTCGGGCTTCTTGCCGAATCCTGAACCGCACTGGAACAAGCCCTTGCTTTTTGCCGCGGAAGTGGCTTTTTGCCGCGGAAGTAACGGCCATGATGCGACAGCCAATGGCCCAACATGAATTATGAAGCATGGGAGAGGCCCGGTCATGCATGTATGCACCGAAAACAAAATTTTGCACAAACGTACGGCAAAGCCCACCAAGAGACATAGTACTACTTGCACGTCGCCCCTCCCCTACTTCATACATGAAACGGGATGGCAAAATGTCTGGCCAAAATGAAACTCTGTTGGCTTTGCGAATCTGCAGCGTCCAAGATTGGCCGTCTGTTTCGGAATTCAAGATAAACTGGCCAATTGACAACAAAAGCCAAACAACTGAAGCAAGATCATTTACATGAGTAGGCATGCATATTTGAACATTTATATTAATGCAAGAACTGTTCACATCTCCCAAATGATCCCAGACCTACTTCCGTCTCTCATGGGGGTCCGCTACTCCAATGACAGGGCTGCCATGGCCAGGCATTATTACTAAGAGGGCAGGAATATGTCTTGACCTATCCTACTGGACATGGCTTTTTTGTCTGCGGCAAGGGCGAGATTGAGGTCTCTACATGCCCGTCACGCACCTGCATCAAAAAACATGATGCTAATTAGTCTCACGCCTTGACCTACACAGTCTGTCACAGCATGGAGATACATCTTGCCAGTGTCATCTGCTACCCTCTCTGAAGGTCTCTACACGCGTAGAAGCTACTAAGGGGAATATAGCACTTGGGTGGTGAATTATCGGGCTTCATGCCCAAGTGGGGGACCGCCGGGCTACATGGGATTATAAGAGATTTTTTGGCACCCCTGAGCAGTACATTGAGGGCAGCATCGGGATTGTTCTGAGCGCCCCCCCTCTTACGACTATCGTTGTTATACGTATTGCTAGTACCATATATGTTATTACTATTATCGCTATTAATACCGTTTTCGTACCCCAATATACTACAGTAGGAACCCACAAAGAAGGTCCGTGTGCCTTGCCCTTGGACGATCTCCAGCCTAAACTACTCAGAGGATTTTGGGAGGAAGATGGATGCTTCAGTCGAGAAAACGACAACTCCCGCAAGACAACTCCTGCATGACCCCAAGACAATCATACTCTGCAGTTTCTGGCATTATAGTAAAGAAAGATCATGCAAGATGACTTCCTGAATAGCACTGGTTGGCCCCCAATGCATTATTTAGTACCGGCTTTTGAGGAAGAATTGCTTGGTGTACATTGAATTCCCCCATGTACTTATAATTAGGTCCCCTTATCTAGCAATGAATAAAATTGCGCATCATCCCAGAGCACCACCCAGATTATGAAGTCCCTCCCAAAACCCCGCAAGCTACTCGCAATGTGGCCCTCAGACGGCATCTACAAGTGCGGCCTGGGCCAGTGGGGGTCTGTAGGAGTTGTACATGGAGGTTCCACAGTAGATATGACACAGTTACACGCCCCCCCCCCCCTGCCCCCAATCTGATTATAATAGGAGTCACCATTAATTATCATTATCACCATCAGCATCATCGTCATGCACTCTTGTTTAATAGGGTTGCACACGACAGCTTTAATTAGGCTATTGATTACCATGAACCTCCAAGTGCCCAATAGGAATCTTGGAGGTCAGGGTTTAGGGCTTTGTCATCATAGTAGGTAGGTGCGGCTGCAAGGGGGATTCTTCTCATTTCCCAAGACCCCTTTTAGTCCCCCTTCAGTAGATAGAATATGGGGTTTATGGGGATCTTATTATAATATACCCAAAGCCATATTCTATCTACTTAAGGGGGACTATAATTCTTAGACTGAAAAGATTTCTCAAAATCGCCCGCGCCGCAACTAACTCTGGATCCTGGCTGACCTTGGCTTTTGCTTCCTCGAGAATGGTGTTGACAAGGGAGATGGCGCGATGCTTTCGCAGCCTTGGCTGTTATGTATAGTATGGGGTTTCCATAAGCTGGCCCAAGAGAGATTGCAATACACTGTTACTCCTATGCCTGTAAATCTGAAGAAGCAGGCCCAATTTTTCGGAAACCTCCCTAAACCCGAAACCCTAAACCCTTCCTAGGGCCCACTTGCTGTGATGCTCCTTGAGGATCCCAATGTCTGACTCAGTAACCGTGACGATATTAGGGGTTTCCCAAAATTAGGGGCAACTTTTTGGGGTCCCCATATTAAGGATTATCATATTTTAGGGTCTATATTGGGGTCCCCCTAGTTTGGGAAGTTACCATTCATGGAGAAGAGCCAGGTGATTGGGAATACGCCTCCAAGCTGGAGGGCACCACCCTGTGCTACCTAGACTTTTCCTACAAGCATACTTCATGTTCATTATAATGTGAAAGACCCAATGTGACTTCATACGTCTTGAATAGAAACCCAAACACAAAAAGCGCGGGGAACAGTGGTTTCTCAACCTTCTGGTTTCTGTCTTGGCGGCCTTGCACTCCGGACTACGCATCTTAGGGCTCTGTTGAGAAAATCCTGAACAAAAACAATGGGCAGGTACGCAGTAAGCCTCATTCTGGTCAGGTTGGGTAGTGAAGGAGGAGTTACAAGAACACCCCCAAACCCTGGACCCTATAGGCACAAAAACGAGGTGCTCGCGAATCACCGCCACGACATTGGTGGGGCACATCATCTCCGATAAGCTTGCAGCGCAGGACTCGGCGAGCTGAGCTAGCCCATACCTTAGGCCGTGATGATTTGATCTGGAAGTTCAGGATTGAGGGCAGAACGTTGTCTCACGTAGACAGCCATGCAATGTCTCTCTCACTCTATCTATCTATATATATATATATACATATACATACATATGTACATGGATCGGATTCTTCTTTTGTCGGTTCTCCGAACATTGGATAATGTCTTGGCTTCTTGGTTTTGTAGAAGGGTGCGCTGATCTTGACAAGCTTACCAACCATGGTAAAGGTATGCTTTGGGTACTCCTCAAAGAGTCAGTAGGCCGCCCAGTATACTGCAAGAGGAATACTGATCCTATACAATTACAACACAAGAAAAGCCCCACGGTTCTGAGACACCTCGATCCAGCATCAAGGGACCCCAAGTCAGGCTTTGGATGGAATGGACTTTGTGGGCTAGAGTTTCAGGGTGTAGGGTCTTGGGGTCAGGGTTAGGTTCGGGGCTTCGTGTCCGCGGCCCCAAGACTTAGGGCGTTGAATTAGGAGTAGCGACCGTTGAGCGTGCCTAAAAACTAACCAGAAGCCCTGAACGCCCAACCCTCAGCCTTAAACAAACAACAAACAAGCCTAACAGCAGAGCAGATGCTGGTTGCCCAGGCTGATCAACTCACCCAGCTCTTGGACCGAGGTACCTTCCTTGCTTGTTCGGTCACCAGAGGGTGTTTTCAGGGATATGCAGGGCAGCATGTAGGGGCGGGGTGCAGAGGCGTTTTTAGGAGTATATGCTCCGGTGCAGTGGCAGTGTAAAGCACTACTGGCAGTGCCCTGGCCCAAATAAATATTCCCAACTACGCCCATTTAGCGCAAAGACGTTGCAGCTGGCATGGTTTATATCTAACCAAAGGCATACAACGCCCTACATGTTGATATGAGAGTTATTCTCAAACTTACCCAAACTAGTGATTTAATGGGGACCCCATAGCCCCCTCATAATCCCCAGGTCCATAGGGTGAGAAACTCACAAAAGGCAAGCATCTGGTGCTTCGCCAGTGTAGATGTGCTCCAGCAGCCTCGGTCGTCCCCGTTGGGATTTGGGTTGATAGTCCCCCTTAAGTGGATAGAATATGGCTTTGGGTATGTTACAATAAGATCCCCATGTTCCCCATATTCTATCTACTGAAGAAGGACTATAGGGCTGAGGCTTTTGAGGTTAAGGCTTCAAAGGTCAAGGGTTCGCAAATGGATATTTCCCTGAATTACGGCTTCCTTGTTGATTTCTGATTGCAGACTGAACACATTGCAGCGTGTGTGGACCGGGGGGGGGGTATCATAGGATTTCACATGAGTTGGACAAGCAGGAGCATCCCTTGCATAGACCATACTCGGACTTCTTCCTGTAAGACATGGCAGTAGAGCTGCGCCCGTAGCCTCTAACCAAAAGCCTGACCCCCTCTAAAGAAACTTCAGGCAAGCAACTTGTTCAGGGTGCCAGGCGCCGCATTGCGGATGACAATCCGGTGCTCTGTCCCCTCCTGCATAAACCACGTATGCGAAGCGGCCCCTCTGGAGGCTGTTAAGCGATACTTCTGGGCTGAAAGCTACATGTGTAAGAGCATGTAACAGCAAGAGTATGCATAGCCTATGCTTAATGCCCACGGAAAAGTGCGAAAAGGTGCGATGTTTCCAAAGCTTGACTGGCTTTGGTTAAAAAAAAAGAGCATGAACACCTGAGACTGCGCTGTGCCTTCATCTGCGAGCTCAGCATACGGTCGAAGACATCAGAGCTTCGGGCAAGTACGGCGCGGTGGCAAGGGATGTCCTGTCCATGGCTTCAGTTCAAGCTCATGGGTAAGGGCTTCCTCGACTGCTGTCGCCACTGTTATGCTTATCCTTAACTTGGGCCTGTTGTTTATCGCTTGTGCCGTTCAATCTTACAGGTTGGGTTGACGTTGTCAGTGATCCAGGAACGGCGCTTACTCTAATGACAAACTGCATACTCATTGCTCTCGGCCCTCGTCCCAAGCCCGGCCTGAAACGCTTGCATCCTAAATCCTAAACCTTGAAACTCTTAAGTCCAGACTTAACCCTAAAGCCCTAAACCCAAACTCATGACCTTCTCTTGCTTCTTTGACCAGGTCGAGTCCTCGCCGTCATCCCCGGCTCTCATGTTCATGTCCGTGAACCTGTTGTCGATCACATGAGGGTTTCCATACATTCGAGGTCGTTTCAGGGGTACCCATGATAAGGATTCTATTGTTTTGGGGCTAGTATCTGGGCATTCTTTTTTTTTTTCAAATCCACCACATAGGGCTCCTAAGCCCGTAGCACATAACCTACCAAAAAAATCCATATAGAACCGGGCACCAGCGTAAGCCTCTCTTCTAACCTCTACGCATCCCCGTGTTTCTAGGGTCCCCTTTCAGAAGCCGCTAAAACCCATCATGTATCCGTATTCCACACATTTCTAAAAAGGACCTATGGGTAGCCAAAATGATGATACATGCTTGCAGCCCCGAGGCTTCATTTCTCTCCACAGGTCCTTGCCGTAGTCCAGGCGTCGGCGCTTACTCGGCTCGTAGCCCAAAGCTTTGGGATCAAGCCATAGCTCCACCATGCAGTGCAGATACTCACCAGGAACATACCTGGGGGTTTTCAATGAGGGGACACAATTTTGGTGAGAGTCCCTATCGTTTCTTTTGGAATATATGTGGGGCCTTCATGTCAGGAAACGTTTACCTAGATGCTCCTGAAGTGCAACTAATTAAACAACATATATACTCAAGTTGATCTTCCTTTGGGCTTTTTGTCAGCAATATGTCATGCTTGGGGTTATCTTAAGCAGCTCAGTCCTCCTTTTGTTGGCATAGAAGCTACAGCAACATAAGTCGGGTTTCTCAAAATGGGCGTGACTGTAAAACTGCAGAATCCTTCAAGATTGTGCAAAGCCTATGCGGGTGCTGAATTCGGATTCGATAGGGATGATTTTGAGAAACTCCGATACAGCCCAGTCAAGATCCAGGCGCTTCGGCGGCAGAAGGACCGCTTCCGATTTGCAGACAGCGTGCTTGAGAGTAAAGCACTCCTTGGGTGGGGGGGTTTGTAGCCCTGAGCTTTGAACTTGGGTCATACAGTTGTAGAGCTGGCTGGATTTAGAAACAACCTCCCTCCCCCCACATAAGGTTGTGTAACACCACCCAGTGTGCGCTAGAGCATGTCCGTAAATGCCTTTGTCAATGGACTGCTAGTGAATACCGTGGGGCTCTTTTAGGTTTCATGGTCAGCTATGAGCAACCCGTGTGCCAAGCAAATACAGTAGATGCCTCCCCTAATAATTAATTCCCCCCTTGAACATGCCCAAGTATATGTAGTACAGTTATAAGCCCGGAGGATTATTCATTGTCAGGAGGTGGGCGGTGGGTGGCTGGGTTTTAGGCGGAGGGAATGAACCAGAACCAGACCTCAAAGATATCATCCTTGCTGAGCAATTTAACACGACCATGTAATATTCTGTGGCAGATCTTGGATTTTCTGGTCTTTGGGCGACTGGCGTCTGAGAGAAGATGCAGGGTCCTCCCTAAGCTATCAAAGAAAGGAACGTGCGCTTAAGACATGAGAGGCGGGGTGCTACTCTCTTGCCCTAGCCCCAACCCTACCCGTAAACCCCTTATGCCGTTCATAAGCATGAATTTTCTGATAGTTCGTGGGGGGTTATACAAGAGTAATTCCCAAGGGGATAGGAGCTACATCCATGAGCGCTATAAACCCCTGTGAGCTGCAGTCACTATTTCCTATGGTTCAATGGACATGGGTATATTGGGGACTGTACCAACCTATTAGAGGCACCCCTATGTCCACTCTCTTCCACTTGATTCTCCAGTATAAACTACCAATCCCACTGGCCTAAAACCCAAACCCTAAACCCCCAAACCCAAGACCCTAAACCCCTACACCCATACACCCCTAAACCACCTAAAGCCCCTAAACCCTTAAAACGCCTGGAGTCATTACACTTGCCGCATCGCAGGCGCTGAGAGCAGCCTTTCAGGGTTTCGGTTTGCCCCAAGTATCGGACCTCAGCTTGGCTTGTTCAAACTTGTAAGCTTACCGGGGTTTAGGGTAAAGGAGTTAGGCGATTTAGGGCTTTAGGGTAGGGTTTAGGGTTTTCAGGTTTAGGGTTTAGGGGTTAGGATCTTAAGGTTCAGGGTTAAGGGCAATAATGGCTCTTTGTGGCTGCAGCGTTTAGGGTTTAAGGTGGCGCAGAGCTTGCAGTTAAAGGTGTTGATGTAAGGGAGTTCCGAAAAGGGTCCATTTCTTGGAGTCTCTATGATTTATACGGATTATGCATTTTAATGTCTTAGGGTCTACATCGTCTTAATTTAAGGACACTACCAAACTGCACGAGGGACTGTGAGGCGAAAGTGCACAGTCCCAATCATGAGCTCATCGGTCTTGCCCGACCTAGGTTGCTTGGAAATCTTCATGTATCCAAATGTTCCCCTGCAGCATAATCCTGATATTTTTGACTGGTAGCCATTCCATCAGCAATTCATCTGCAAGTTGGCTGCTGGATCGAAAAAACCCACAGCAGCCAACCCCTGCAACCCTACACATCCTGCAAATCCCATCAACCTTTTAGACCCTGCAAAGCCTATAAACTCTAAACCATACGAGATTCAATGTTTCCAGGCCTTTGCAGGACTCAAATTACGCTGCCCATTCGGAAAAGGGAGGGATGAGCACTGACTATGTCTATACACGGTCGGAGGCCTGACTGAAGACCTGAGGGCGTATGGCTGTCTTGGTTTTCTTTGAAACTGCGGTGGGACGCTTCTGACAGGAATGCTCGCGACTTGCGGCTATTATAAGCAGAAAGCCAACTGTTTAGATAGACGAAGGGAGTGTATTCTAACCGCATAGCGAGTGGCTACCCGTTTCATACAACATGCACCCTAAACCAATAACAGCATGTATCGCCCCTGCTATCCCTGCAAGATCCCCAGCGCCACTCCTTTGAAGCATCCTCATCTTTCACCAGATCTTATCAACTTTAAAACATGGCCGCGAGACAGAGCGCTGATCAACGTATCCTCTGAATCTGTGTAAATCGGCACGAAAACCTGAATTGGATATGGCCGAGTTGCACTCCTATTGCCGTGTTGGGGTTGTCTGGAATTGGCAACTGTGACAGGACTTCTTGGGATTGTTGGGATTGCAAGACAGGTTTAGGATTTAGGGTGGTTGTGTCATGCAAATACAGCACATGTAGATGGAACAGCCGTTGCGGACGGGGTCCCAAGAAAAAACATTTCATCTGACACGAACACCACCAAAACACAATCCGGATTACACTACACTGGAAAGTCTAATCTCTCTCTCACACTCTCTCTCACACTCTCTCTCCCGCTTTGGAAGCATCCAAACCCTATTTACAAACCCCGCAGGCCCTTCAAAGGACTTTCTGCAAAAATAAACTTCCTCAGCCCTGAAAGTATGTAGACCAACAATCTTCTTCCCAAACCTCCTAAAGTATCACGAAAATTGACCCAACCCCCCTCAACATGATCCCACTACTACATTGCGGCCCCTATGGGATTATAGAAAGGTTCTATTTTTGGATCCTGAAGGGGTCTGGGTTGGCAATACTTATTTGGTTGGTGCCAGTCTTGTGCTTACTTTTCAGAGTCCAGGAATAAAAATGCATGAAGGGCTCAAAAAACAGGACCCCTAATCTTTGGAAACACTGATCCCTGCTAATCCCTATGAATCCCTATGTACCCTTAGGCCCTTGGAAATCATTACATATCCGTATACCCTAAACCCCAAACCCTTTCAAATTCAGTCTCAGGTAGCGAGTTTGGTGGCTACACCAGGCTTCTGGGATGTGAAGCCAAAGCCTCGTGGATAGACTTTCAGAAGCACCTTGCTTGGTGACAGCTTGGGGCATGTAGGATTTAGTGTTTATGATGGGGTTTCGGGTTTAGGCTTGGGGGCTTTCGGGTTCAGAAGCACCTTGCTGGTTTCAATTTGCTAAGTTTTTAGGTGGGGGATTATAAGGTGGGGACCCGTAGATAAGGCTTAGGGTTTAGGCTTATTTGAGGCTTGTATTGAGAGACTAGGAGGCATGTACAGCCTGTATAAGGCTGAATGCGGGAAACTACCCACTTGAAATTTCCTCAGATTTAGGGTCCCATGGCTAGAGGCTTCATTGGCCTTCATTGCATCAGGTAATGGCCCAGGAATTTAGGGTTAACCTGGATGACAGATGAGGGGCTTAAGGATTTGCCTTCAGAAGCATCTTCTTGGGACAGCAGTTCATGGTATTCAAGGTTTACCATCAGAAGCACGTGGCTGACACGACAGCAGGGTTTATGGTTGCGGGTTTACCTTGAAAAGCACATTGCTTGGATGACAGTCCTTTTGTCTAAAGTGGAACGCACATGTAAGAAGCCCGACAAGGATCCTCATGAGCAAACTTGCTCAGCGTATTCCATGCTTCAATTGGCGGATCCTTTCTGGAGAGTCGCTGAGGACCGGCAAAATCCCAAACTACCCTTGAAAGAGGTTCCTGAGAATGACGGTTCTCCTCCAAGATCCTTCTCATGCGTGTTCTTTTTAAAGCTATTTTGGGGTTCACAAGGAGCTTTACCCAGAACCCCTAGACTAAGGCAACGCACACAGTAATCTGGCCTTTGGCTAGCTATGACTGAAGGACTGGATCCTCACAGTGATCCCTATATAACCCATTATAGCAGTTTCCATGGTCTTTTCCATTCCTCCATTTCCAGCTAACTAAAGGCCAGTAAACCCTAAACCCTGCATAATCTCTACATAATCCGTATACAACACCTATATAATCCCTATATAAAACCCCTAGACTAAGGCAAGGCACACAATAATTCCACAAATTCGAGGCTGGGCTGTCCACATGCTGACCCTCCAGGTAGTGATCGGCGCTGTGCCTTGGGCTATAAGCTGGGGCCCCCTCACTTTCAGTAACCATAGCTTCATTACAATAACTTTAGAACCTTAAACTTAGGCCAATTTAGAACACTTGTCTTTCTAAACCACCATCTAAGGTCGTCATAATTTGCTCAGTCTTGGGTTGGAATGGTGCCCTCAGGGACCGTGGTTTCAGTGAGTCGCCGACTCTTTGACACCTCAGAACCAACCCCCTTGCTCTGATAATGAGATCCCCATTTAAAGATGTCAATGTTATAGCTGCTCCTTTTCAATCCAACTTCTTGGTACTCTGACGAACGATGGTCCGTACTACAACTCATGTTTCCTTGAATTAAATCAAGTTTCCTTCCCTCGGAACACAAATCCGATTCTGAAAATCTTGCGGTCCTTGAATTTGATAGCTGGTTGTGATAGGGGGTTCGTGGTTTTCCAAACAAATTAGCCTCCGTTTGCAGTACGGACCGTCTGGTTGTGGTATAGGGCTTCTGGTTGTAGTAAGGACTTGTCGCCCTCCCGCGCCCCCTCCCGTACAAGCACTTCTCTCTCTCTCTCTCTCTCTCTTTCTCTCTCTCTGTCTCTGTGTCTGAGATTTTCCAACCGAGGGTTCAAGGATTGAGGTATTTCGGAATTTATCGGTTAGGGGTTCAGGGCGCGTGAGGGGCTTCAGGTTCTGCAGGAGTCTAGGGTTTCAGGTTTATGGCAAGGCACTTCTGGAATTCTAAAAAACAATGGACCTCCAACTTCGAATAACAAGGGATTTTGAAAGTAAGTGTCACCATGCAGAGCAACTCCCATTTTGGCAGGGCTTGTTGACAAACCGGTTTTGGCGGCTTCTCCCATATTTCAGACGGCTTTGAGGGTAATAGACTATGATAAAGGTGATTGTCAGGATGCCCTGCCGGCCTGAGAATTTTGCGGTTGTTGTGGCACATGGGAACGGAAAATGAAATGGAAGCCGGTGTTCGAGGTACCCTACACTCGAAGCCTTCAACTCTAAGCGCTGTACCCTGAACCCTAGACCATACACCCTGAGCATTGAATCCAAAACCTAAAGCCCCTAAAGCACGGACATTGAAGCCGGTGTTCGAAATACCCTAAACTCCAAGGCTTTCTCCGTGAACCCTAGCCCATCAACCCTGAACATTGAGCCCTAAACCTAAAACCCAAAAAAAGCCAAAGATTGAGCCCTAGTGATGCAAACCTAAAGCTTCAACGTGCAAAGCAGGCACAGCGGCAGCTTGAAGTTGATGATGTGCGTCGGCTCCCCGTCGTCCATGGGCGCTAGAACCGTGGGTTGGGCGTTGAAAGCCCATACTACGGAGCCAAGCTTCTACGACTACCCTTCCTACTCCTACTACGAATAGTAATAATACTCGTAGTGATACTAATTACTCTCGTTCTTCTAGTGATGATACTTTTCTTGTAAGAGGTCTGCTACAGGGTGGGAGTGGATATGACATGATAATTCAGTCCAGGGTCTCGGGCAATCGAACTTCAAAATGTCTATGGCTACATGTGAATGCGAGCTTGTGCAAGAATACATAGCAAAGAACTGAATTTCCCTGGTGTTTGGAGACCTTGCGCTCAGTCTCTGCATCAAAGACAAACTTGGTGGTACCCAATATAAGCCCCAATATAAACAGCATATAAGCCCAATATAACCCCAATACAACCCCCCCCAATAAAAACCAAATATAAACCCAAAAATAAACCCAATATGAACCCCAATACCGCCTCGAAGGCTTCCTGAAATTCAGGTCAGCATAGCTAGAAGCCAAGGGCCAGTTCATTATTAGGGGTGGGGGGGGGTTTCCCAAAATTAGGGGTACCAGTCCCTATAATAAGGATTATACCATTTGGGGGGTATATGGGGGGCATCATTAGGAGGGGGAGGCTATGAAAATATTATCCATGTAGCCTGTTAGTTCATACCTCGCTTGATAGCCGTTCTTTAGAAGTTTCTTTGTCGGTATGCTTTCTTGCACTCACAACCTGCCTGCAGAGCGCATGGGTGCCAGGAGCAATCTTTCGTATTAACCTGAGTGGCCTGAGCTCAGCAACCAACTGAAGGCTTCACCCCTGAATCCGTCATAAGCTCACTAGTGAGCCTTGATTCCTGAAGACCACAGCCAACCAAAACTTCAAGATACCTTCAGGGGGCAAAAACCTATTCCCGAAAACTTTTCTGATGAAGCCAGCACCGATGATCAATAAACTTTTAGAGGACTGGAGCTATAGGGGAGAATTGCAACTGCGAAAGCACAGTCTCGACTTGCGGTGAAACTCGAAACACAAGCAGATAAAAATCATAGTGGGATCCTGAAGCATGAGCAGGCAGCCAGCAGCCAACAGAGCCTGAAGCGCGAATCACATACATTCCCTTCAACAATCCCCAACGGGGATATTGAAAACAGTAAATCAGAGGGATGGCTACTTGCGCTGCAAGGGCAGTTTTGGACATCCGGAATGGCATCCCGCCTGTGCTAAGCGTTGTATCGTAATCTAAATAGATATGGGTGCTGCACGGTGCTTCTCACTGATATGGGCACTTCTCCAAGCTAAGCTAGGAAGCGCTCAGATATTGCCGGACGACATGATCATCCGCTACAAGGACAAGGTTTTGCACAATTGAGAACCGACAAAATGCCAGCATAACCCCGATGTTCGAGGGAGGTAAGTAACCTTAGGCAAGGATGCTCTGAAACAAGCTTGAACATCTATGATGGACGCCGCCACCTGAATCTTGAACTGTGAACCTGAAGCCTGAAACCCAACTACCCTGAACCTGACTAGGTAGGCACATCACGGTACACAAGTGTTGCAGGTCGATATTAGCTGGTTATACCTTGGGCTTTTCCCTGGAAACCTTGCAAGCCCCCACCCTGAACGCCAGTCAATGGTTCCTAGACCATTATCCCTAAGTCCTCAACTCTCAGTTCTCAACTGTCAAACCCTAAACCTTGAACCCTAAACCCCTAAACCCTAAACCCCCAAACCCTAAACCCTAACCCCTAAGCCCTAAACCCTAAACCCCAAACCCAGTGCCCCAAGCGTCTCCACGCTGGTCGTTCCAATCAGCACAGGTCTACCGAGGCGGTGAGCCTTCAACAGTGGGTTTAGGGGTTTAGGGGTTTAGGGTTTAAGGGTTTAAGGGTTTAAGGGTTTAGGGTTTAGGGTCCAGGGTTTAGGGTGGTTTAAGGGTTTAGGGTTTAGGGGTTTAGGGTTTAGGGGTTGAGGGGTCTAGGGTTTAGGGTTTAGGGGTTTAGGGGTCTAGGGTTCAGGGTTTAAAGGTTTATGAGTTTAGGGGTCTAGGGTTTAGGGGTTTAGAGGTCTAGGGTTTAGGGGTTTAGGGGTCTGGGGTTTAGGGGTTTAGGGTTTAGGGGTTTAGGGTTTAGGGGTTTAGGGGTCTAGGGTTTATTTAGACACGCGCATCGCACAAGCAAGCACG